AGGTATTCAAAGTAGATCTATATATATATAAAGAGTTTGAATTCATTGAATTATGTAAGTCTCAAAATTTATATCAAATGTATATCTTTAATACTTTTTTATAATACAAATTTAATCCATTTAAATATTGAATTATGTGATATTATATTTAATATATTTATATCAAATTTTATATAATTCCAAAATTATTTAGTAATTTATCATATTATTTTATTTTAATGTATAATATAATATTTCAAGATGAGGATTTGAGTGTAACTTTTAGCAACTATTATATTGTTCAATAACTTTATATTTGTACCTACACAAGGGTATTCATGTAATTTTCTTACTTCAAGTCTTCTCTTTAATCACCTTCGTTTATCCATGTTGTAGTTTTCTTGAATTTAGTTGTGTAAAGGAAAATAGGGGAGTACTTGCAAAAAGTACTCTAACACTCAAATTAATCTTTGATTTCAAACAATTTCAGATAATTAATATTGTAATAAATGTCAAACATGTACCTTTTCTCTCTTACTTGTCATTATTTATACTAAACTTATTGGGTTTGGGCCCATCAAGGAATCATTATATCTCTATTAAAACCTTCTTCTTCCACGAGTCTACTTAGTGCTTGGTAGGGGCCAAGGACTCTTCAGCATTATCCCTTATTCTTCCTCTATAATATATAAGCCCTCGAGTTTCAAAAAAATATGTTATATATGTGTGTGTGCGTCTAAAAGAATTTTAAAGGAAACCTAAGAGTTTTGTTGCTTTTATTACTAAAGAATTACATTTCCTAACACTGCCACTTCCATTAATTACGATCATTGTGTCTTTTCATCTTCAAACTTTACCATTTAGTATTGGAAAAGTCTTGCATTCACATCCCTTGATGAACGATAAACGTAGGGATGTGATCTTTTCACTTTCACCCTTTACCCCTTATAAATAGAGACTCACTTTTACTATTCTTTTTACTCTAATATCAAAGACATCAATCTTATCTTTGCATTCTTGTCAAACATGTTTGCATTTCATTAAACCAAGTACTTTTCTTACTCATTCCTCTAGTGACCATGAGTCATTCCTCTTCATCTTATTTTTCATCTTTTTTTGAGGACACTTCGTTTCAATCTCACCGAATCTTTGGCCATGATTGAAACACCAACCTCGACCTTAGTCGAGGACCCCCTTTATTTTTTACCATTCTCCTCGTTTTGATGGTTTAGAATAAACTTAAAATTGTAAATCCAAAATAGTTCCTAGGTTTGAGTGGGTTCATGAGGAAGTAACTACATACAACTCTCACTTTAGTCATCCTCAACTTCTTACCAATTTTGTAGATATTGTAACTATCGCCACCTTTCCCACTTATGAGGACCTTTACCTTATTTTCGCTAGATGTTGTAAACCTGATACTTCTAATCTTGATTACATATTTGCATCTCAAGATCTCCAATACCCGAAGCCTTACTTTTATATGTATGATTTCCTTTTTTGAGACCTTGGTATCACCAGTCCTTTTCAACCATTCTTTCGTAGTATCCTTAGAATTTTAAATATTGCTTCCATCCAACCTCACCTGAATAGTTAGGATGTTATGCAGACCTTTCTTCATCTTTCTGATTATTGCCATGTTAACAAATATACTAGCTTATTTATGTATCACTATCATTGTCGCCCTTTCGAAAACATCAAATTGGTGTCACTTGCTCATGTTCCTAACCAAAAACTCCTTAAACAATATGTTTCCTCATATAAAAACTTTAAAGTAGGTTTCTTTAAAATAGGAATACACCTCAATCCTATTTTTACTTTTTTATAAAGAAAACAAACCTATATTCCCTTTATATTGGACTCGAGACCCTCTTTAGTATGACACTTTGTCCATTGATTTCTTTTCTGTCGAAGAGGTATCAAATTAAAATTTTTAGGTTCGCTACCTCAGATCTCCCTTGCCACCAACTTATAAATTTATGTCAATCCCCCAAGCCTTCAAAAGACCTTGATGGTAAGTGAACTTCTTATAATTACCTTTAATTTTGTTTTGATTGTTGACTTTCTCCTCGTTATAGGTATCATGGCATCATCTAGCATTAAGGTTCCTTTTTTTTGCCAAGTCCAAAAAGAACACGTTCGGACTAAGGCTGCTATTACTATTGTCGAGAACCCTCTAACACCTATCGACACAACCCCCAACCCTCTAATAGACATAGCCCCTCCTCGTGCCGAGAGGAAAGAAACTACCAAATGAGGGGCCTCCAGGTCTAAAGGCCCCAAGTGCCACACTATAGTTCACTTGGACAATAATGTTGAAAAGCATGAAAGATTAAAGAAAGGTCTTTGCTCCTTCATTGCTCCCTACACACTTCTAACCAATCTTGTTTCAAGTAGCTTTCTATTGTTGGTCCCTGTTTATAAGAATCTAGAATGAGGTTGAATAGATTCTATCCCAAGATGACTCTATTTTCAAAATTTCTTGATTATAACGTACCAAGATATTCAATACTCAACCTTTAATCGATTTGATTTAACAAATTACAGCAAATTACAAGATACAATACCAATATAACAAAATTTCAATGTTAACACAACAAATCAATCACTTGTAATCAAGGTTGATTTTATATTACTAACTTCTTAATCAATTTTAATTACAAGAATAATATTCAGAGTATGAGTGGTAATTGAAACAACATATCTCATAAATCTTTGAATTCTTTAATCAAATTCATAACAAGATTATTAAAGAGATAAGAGTAAGAAGATAAAGAACACAAAAATTTATACTAGTTCAATCATTCACTTGGCCTATATCTAGTTTTCTTTGATTTAGCACCTCATTAAATCAAAGATTATTCACTACAATATTGTTTACAAACACTATACACACACAATGTTATAAGAATGCAAACACACATCAATCTTGACACTACAAGAATGAATAACACACAAATTTCTACACCCCACAAAAATTACTTGAAAAATCCCACTCAAGATTTCAAGATCTCTTGTTGAGACACCCTATCTCAAGAGATACACCATGCAAAACGAAAATACAGTTCAAAAGATCATAAAGATATCACCTAATTTTTGTAGACATTGATATTTCACAATAGAATTCACTTCTTGAATTTTTTCCTTCAAGAACACATGTTCAATCTATGCACTTCTTAGTATTTCAAAAAAAGTTTATTTGATTAGCCTATGATTCTTGTTTCTGAAAGTATTCTTTTTCTCTAATGTTCTTTTTCAAAAAGGCTCTCTTTTAATTTCATAAAAGATAGGTATTTAAAGTGCAAGACGTAATTCAATTATAAAGAGTCATAACGAAAGTAATCTGTTACCTGATATGGTAATTGATTACCAGCTCATCTGAAAATTGAATTTTGAATATAAAGTGTCAGGGTAATCAATTACGGGATATGGTAATCGATTATTCTAAGCTTCTCAAAACCTAGAATTGTGCTTCACTCTGTGGTAATCTATTATCTCCTCTGGTAATTGATTATCTCAATGAAAATCTTGATTATTCAACCCTGTATCAAGCAAGAGGTTTTATTTTAATCTATTACCAACTTTAGTAATCTATTAACACAAAGGATATTTGAATATCCTTTTTCAGTAGCAGACTTTGTAATCTATTACCCTAAATGGTAATTGATTAACAATGTTACCTTGAAAACTCTTATTTGAATAAAGTCATATTTCTATGTTTAAACACTTGGTAGGAAATTATCTTTTCATGATAATCTATTACTTTATGTTTATACATGGAAATACTAAGTAATCAAGTTCTTGGTTTTTTAAAAGCTTCATTAGTTCTTGAATTAAGCATTCATCACCATCAATTATAAACAAACACACAATCCGATGTTAGGGCTTTTATAACACCTAAACCTTCTTATTTTTCAAACACCCATACATTCTCTCATTTCTCACACAAACCCTAACACACTTTCTTCTTCATTTTCTTCATCTCCAAGAAAGAACCCACCTTTAACCTCAAAATGGCCTCATCTTCCAAGAGACCAAAGAAGCTTGAAGTCAAGGGGAGCAAAAGGCCTTTGCCCACAGGAGTTGAGAAACTCATCTCTAAGTGGTTTGCTAATGAAAAGACTCAAGATTACTATTTTGAATGGTATGCGGGTAGGAGAATCATTCCTCCGAAGACCTTGAAGCTAGAATGGTTCAAGAATGAGGGTTTTAGTTTTCCTCCTCTCTTGGAGCATCAGGAACTTGGGAAGTTGTTGGAGTTAGAAGGACCGTATTACCCTGAGCTTATTAGGCTATTCTTATGCTTTGCCTCAAGCAATGAAGGGATAATGCAATCTGTGGTGAAGGGCAAGCTCATAAAGCTTGATGGTCCAACATTGAAGGAAGCAGCTGGGCTGAGCAGAGACGGGAGTACGAAGCCCCAACTCTTCAATTTTGGAGATTTTGAGGAGCTGACAACTTTTAGAGATTGTCAAAGGAACCTGGAGACCACGAATTACACAAAATTTCTGGCCGGAGGTATGAAGAAAAATTATAGGTTGATTTCTTTTGTTATAGCTTGGATGCTTAAGCCTAGACTTCATAATCATGCTCAAATGTCTAGGAATGACATTTTGCTTATGCACGTTATTAAGAAAAAGATTAAGATAGATTGGGTATCTGTGGTGAATGATTGTATGTGGAAAGCTAGGAGGAAGGAGGATGGTCCAATACCATATGCTTTGTTATTATCTAGGATTTTTGAGAAAGCCAGTGTGGATCTTAAAGGGGAGAAAAAGATAATTCTCCATGCCTCGAACAAAATTGAAAAATCTTCTTTGCATCATATGGGGATGCTGAAACAAGAAGACAAATGGGTATTCAAAGGAGATGTTCCTCCGACGCCTGAACCAACAACAGATGAAGATGGTGTTCCATCTCATGATGAAGACCAGCCACCACAAGTGGAAATTGAACCTGAACAAGAGCAAGAATCAGAGCCTAAAGTGTTTTTTTCGTTTGAGCAAATTATGATTAACAAGCTTGATGCAGTAATGGAGATGTCATGGAAGCACGAGTCATATTATTCTGGCATTCTTGATCGGTTTGATAACCTTGATCATGAGATTGCACGAATTAAGGCTCAGCTTGGAATGCAAGAGGACTCGGAGTGATGTTAGAAGCTTTAGTGTTCTGTTTTTTTTAAGTTTTAATTTAAAATTTTTGGTTTTAAATTTCAATTGGGTTGTAATCATGTTAATTCCTGAACAATTTGCTTATCTTGGTTTTATCTTGTTTTGAACAATTTAAATTCTGGTGCAATATGAATTTCATTTTGATTATATTGTGTTTGGGATGATTTGGTGATGGAAACTTTGATTTGGTTGTTTTACTTCTATATTATGGTTTGTACATTGATATGTGCAAGTAGTAATGCATATTTGTTATGTTTGCTGTGATGCTTAGCTGATGTATCATTTGGCTGAAATATTGTGTTTGAGATACAAATTGTGTGAATGTGGTATAAAATTCCCTGATAGAAATTCTGATATTACTTTGGATTAATTGTAACAATGCCTATAGTGATATTGCTTGACTAATTTCTTGGTATTAAGTTGGTCTTGTAGCATTGATTTTGAGCAAGTGATTCTTGTGCATAATTCAATACATGTGAAATCTGGACATATGAATATATATTTGGTTGTTTTTGATGATGTCCAAAGGGGGAGAAAGGTTTTTGAGTTTGTTTTGCAGGACTTAAAATGTGAAATGCTGGTTTGCAAGACAAAATGGCTTGTATGGTTTGTCATCATCAAAAAGGGGGAGATTGTTGAGATTCATGGAGTGGTGAATCAACTTAAACTTGGAGTATGAAAGTTTTGATGATAACAAAAGGTGGATTCTGAGAATCAAAGCTGACTAAGGACATCAACAAGTCAAAAACAAAGTCAAGAAGAAAATATGCCTATAATGATGTGTAATAGGGATAGCTCATAAGTAGTATTGATTTGTTTAGCTTATTTTGCATGTGTGTGCTTTGTGCATGAGTTAATCTTAATCTAATTGACTGAGAGTGAGCATGATGATGATTTAAATACTTGGAAAGTTATTTTGAGGTATAAAACTGAGTTTTTGAAAACTGACTCAAAATAATCGATTATCATTAAATATAATCGATTATTCCAGCAACAGGTGAAAGGAAGCCTTGCTGTAATAATCAATTATTTGTGAAATAATCGATTATCCCAGGAAGCACTCTCTGAAATAATTGATTATCCTGCAAAATAATCGATTATTATGTTCTTGAGTGATTTCCTGAAATCATGAAGAACAAAATAATCAATTATCCTTTAAAATAATCGATTATCTGGTTTTGAAAATGTTATAAATAGTTTTTACACTTTGAAACCTCAGAACAGAGAATGAGTTAACAATCAAAAAGAGAAAAACGTTATTGTGAAGTCTTTGTGACCTTCTTGGAGTGTTTTCTTTGTGAAACCAAGAAGTAAAACATTTTTGAAATGTTTTGAAAGAGATCATCATCATCATCACATTCTTGGAAGAGAAAGATTGAGATTTTCTTCTGGAATTCACAGTCTGATTTGTTCAACTTCCAGGTGAATTCGTTCCTTTAATTCTTTGTGAAAAATTGTAAGGGAAATCTTGAGTAGGTGTCTCAAGTGGTAAGGAATTCTTGTAGTAGGTTTATACAAGAAGTTCTTTCTTGGGGTCAAAAAAGTGGTTATTTTGAATGTAGGAGTATATGCATGTGTGGTATGCTTGTAAAACTTCTTCATTGAGATAGTGGAACAAATCTTGATCAGGTTATGATTGAGGACTGGATGTAGGTCACATGTGGAGTGACTGAACCAGGATAAAAGACTTGTGCATTCTTCTCTTATCCTTATCTTTTACTTTAAGCAAAATCTTGGTTGAGGGTTAAAGTGAATAATCTTGATTAATATGTTTGCATGTGTAACATTGTTTTAAACTGAATCAAAGTGTTGCATATTAAGTGTTCTTAACTTTGAACTTTATCAAAGATTAATCAAGAAAGCATATAGGACTCATTCACATTAGCGAGTCTTTCAAGGAACTTCTTTGAAAATTCATATTAGAAAAGTTTAAATTGAAATAAAGATCCTTAGAACTTTGAAAAGTTTTTAAGTGTCATAGAATCCAATTCACCTCCCTTCTTGGATTGAGCCATTCTTTTCTAACAAAAACTATGGACTCTAAGTGACTTTGAGGGAGAGAAATGGTTGAAGTATTTTTAGAAATTCTCATAAATGTTCAAAGTTTCTACACAAGGAGGGAAAGAAGTATTTATAGGTCTTGGATCAAGAGAAAGTGGCGCCACCACCATGTGCTCAAAGTGGCGCCAATTTTGAATTCAAATTCAAATTTGGATGTCCCACTTGTCCAGCCATGTACAGCCCCCTTCTAGAACTCCTAATTACATTTGAGAGTAATTTAGGGTTCATTTGATTAGTCACATGTGCAGCCACCCTTAACACAAAACACGTGACTCAAATGCAACTCTAATTACTCTTAAATGTAATTACAATTTTATGATTCATGCCTATTACTTATTTCCTTTAAATTCCTATTCTAATGGCCTAAACACAATAGTCAATCAAATACAATGGAAAGGAAAAATTACAAGAATCAAAATGAGCCCAATATTGGGTACTAAAAGCCCAAAGGCCCATAAGGCCCAAAAATAGGCCCATTAAGCCTATGGCCCAAAAATGTTACTCTATGTGGTCCAAAATACAAGACCAAAATATATGAAACCTATACTAATATTATATATATATAATAGAAGAAAATGGATATCTCAAGGTGTGGCCTATGTGAGGAGCAACTTGGGCCTTCCAAGCCCATTGGGCTTTGACTGACCCAAATCTTCATGTCTAGCCTATTTCTCTTGGATCCTTCAATGTGTTACTTCTTGCCCTCCTAGGCATGATTCCATCATATACCCTCCGAATCTCCAATTGACCGAACTGGCCGATCAATGGCTTTGCGTTGCTAACACTCGAGCTAGGAGGGATATGTACCCTCCAGATCTCTAATTGGCCAAACTGGCTGATCAATAGTTCTTCGTGTCACTAATGCTCGAGCTAGGAGGGTTGTGTATCCTCCTGATCTCCAATTGGCTGAACTGGCCGATCAATAGCTTTTAGCATCGCTAACGCTCGAGCTAGGAACATTTATGTACCCCTTGATCTCTAGTTAGTTAAGCAAACCAAACAACATATACCTTCTTAGTCTTTATCCAACCGAGCAACCCAAACTTTAGGTCTAGTCATTGACATATTAATGAGTGAGTGTCGCCACCGGCCCAAACGGGCCTTCGGCGGTCGCGAAGATAGATTAAAACAAAATCTCTTGCTTGAAACAAGGCTGAAGAATCAAAGTTTTCATCGAGATAATTGATCACCATGGGAGATAATCGATTACCATAGAATGAAACTCAATTCTGGGTCTTAGAAAGCTCGGGATAATTGATTACCAAGTCCCGTAATCGATTACCTTGGTAGTTATATTTTCCTAGTTCAATTTTAAAGAGCTGATAATAGATTATCATATCAGGTAATAGATTACCTTTGTTATTACTCTTTATGACTGAATCACGTCTTGAACTTTAAATATCTATCTTTTTATGAAATTAAAAAGAACTTTTTAAAAATATTTTTGAAAAAGAACATTAGAGAAAAAGAATACTTTCAGAAACAAGAATAAAAGGCTGATCAAAGAATTTTTCTAAAATACTAAGAAGTGCAAAGATTGAACATGAGTTCTTGAAGAAAGAAATTCAATAAGTGAATTCTATTGTGAAAGATCAATGTCTACACAAAATTAGGTGATATGTTTATGATTTTTAACCTGTAATTTTCATTTTGTATGGTGTATCTCTTGAGATAGGGTGTGATGGAAAAGTTGTAGAGAAACCGAATTGATGTGATTCCTATTCAAGCTCCTCCTAGATCTTTTGCTCCTTGATTCTCCTTAAGCTTTCCTAAGGTCTCCAATGGAGGAGGAGACCTTAGAACCACCACGATTTGGTGGAGAACTCTCCCAAGAGACGCCACTCCTTGATGAAGAGATAAGTCTCTTCAATTCTCACCACACTCTTCTAGGGAAGGATAAGAGAATTGGATGAATATCAAAGAGGTTTAGGAACTTTTAGAAGAGAGAAATCTGAAAAATCTTCAGCAAGAATTCTCAATATATGCCAAAAGTGTTTTACAGTGAAGGAAAAACAAATATATAGGAGTAGGAAGCTTGGAGAGCAAGCTAGCCTTAACCATGGTTCACTAAGAACCATGGTAAGGTCTAGCTAACCGTCCATGGTCTAGAAGCTTGGAGAGTAAGCTACTCACTTAGCTTGCTTGGTAAGCAAGCTAAGGAGAAGCTTGTGCTTCAAGCTTCTAGGCTTGAGAAAGAACAAGCAATTCGACCATGTGAACACTAGGCAAGGTGGGTAGCTCATGGACTTAGTTTTGCTCCAACCGGTTTTGAAAAAATGTTGATTTGGTTTAGTTAGGTTCATACAATGTGAATGGAACCTAGCTAAATCAAATCTATGAAAAATTAGGAAAAAAATGAGTCTAATATGTAAAATTTTGCCTAGGCCCATCTCTGGGTCCAATTACTAGTAACACTCTCTAGCTTGCTAGTCACACTCTCTAGCTTGCTAATGCCACTCCCAATCCTACTATTAGAAAAATAAGAAAAAAGTGTATTTCTAGATTAGGTTAAATGGAGTCAAAGTGCCCAAGTAACCTACCCTAGAAACAATATATAATAGCTAATAAAAGGAAATAAAGTGCCTCTCAAATACAAAGCAAAAAATACACCTATACAAGTATCTACTATATACAAGGTACAAGAAATCAAACTATACAATGTATGTACAATGGAAACTCAAGAGACTAATAAGAGGAATCATACTCAATACTCATATTGAGCATAGGTCTAAGAAGCACCTCCTATGTAGAAGCCTCTTTTAGCCTCCTAACCATAGACCTAGTTAAAGGCCCAATGGTCTTCATGGGTGAGCCTCCTTGGATCAACCTTCACCCTTCTTGGTCTTACCTCTTCCAAAGGGATCCTTGGGAATTAGATTTCCATCAGGGTGTCTCAATAAGAGATCTTGAAATTTGGAGTAGGATTTCTCAAGTAATTTCTATGGGGCACAAATTTGTGTGTTTTCAATCTTGTAGTGATAAGATTGATGTATGTTTGCATTCTTGTAATATTGTGTGTGCATGGTGTTTGTAAACAATATTTTAGTGAATGATCTTTTGATTTAGTGGGGTGCTAAATTAGAGAAAACTGGATGTAGGCCAAGTGGATGGCTAAACCAATATAAATTTTTGTGTTCTTTATCTTCTTACTCTATATCTCTTTAATAATCTTGATATTATTTATTTCAAGAATCAAAGATTTGTGAGATGTGCTGTTTCAATTACCTCATGTACTCTACATATTATTCTTGTAATTGAAATTGATTAAGAAGTTGGTAATATGAAATCAACCTTGATTACAAGTGAATGATTTGTTGCATTAACACTGATATTCTAATATTTTGGTATTGAATCTTGTAATCCGCTAAAATTTGTTAAATCAAGTTGATTAAAGTTTGAGTTTTGGATATCTTGGTAGGTTTTAATCAATAAATTTTGAAATTAGAGTCATCTTAGGATAGAATCTATTTAACCCCCTTCTAAATTCTAGTAAACAGGGACCAACATTGTCCTCTTCCATCTCCATATTTGTTTGTTCTTTGTATGGAGAAGTTAGGAGCCATGATCTGCAATTGTAGACACCCAATTTCATCTAGAGGCATACAAACAACAAGATAAGACATCAGAGGGCCCAAAAGCCCAAATCAACTATTTTTAGTGGCCCGAAATGGGCCGTTCCATAATCAAAACGGGTCGTTCCTAAGTCCAGAACGGGCCGTTCTTGAATTGGAACGGGCCATTCCGAGACTCCTAAAAGGCCTAAAAGTTGTAGGTTGGAACGGGCCGTTCCAAACCAGAATGGCCATTCCAAACCAATCAAAGGGCCTAAAAAACTTGGTCCGAAACGGGCCGTTCCTAAACCAGAATGGGCCGTTCCAAAAGGTTAAAAGACCTAACAAACCTAGTTTGGAACAGGCCATTCTAGGAAGGGAATTTAGTGTTAATTTGTACCTTGGAACAGGTCGTTCTCATTTCAGAGCGGGTCATTCTGGTTTCCTGAACGGACCGTTCTGATTTCAGAATGGGTCATTCTGGTTTCCTGAACGGACCGTTCTGATTTTAGAACAGGCCGTTCTAGGGTGCAAACATAACACATAACATTCGGATCCGGAACAGGCCATTCCGAATCTAGAACGGGCCGTTTCGGCCCACATCTGATGCCTATAAATAGAAATCTCAGGCACAGTTCGTCGGACCCCAAAAATTTCATCTAGACTCCTTAGAGCTCGAAATTTCTCTCTTTTTCTCTCTCTCTCTTTTGTATTTCTTGAGATTTTGTGAGGCACATGGTAGTGTGAAAGGCTGCCACAAAGCACCTAAAATCTTCCCATTTTGAAGATTCAATAGAGCTCATTCAATATTGTTATAATAAAAATAATCATGTACACATTTTAGGGTTAATTGTATAATTTAAATTTCAAGCATATAAATAGTTATTAATAAAAGGGGATTTAATATTTCTATTATTATCATTTATAATGATAACTTCATCATAGGGTACCAATTAAGGGCGTTGTAGGGGTGCTTAATACCTTCCCTACATGTAACCGACCCCTGAACCCAATTCTGGTTATCAAGGCCATTATTGGACTTTTAAAAAACCTTTTCTTTTTCCAATATTTTGAGTAAAACGAAGTAAAGAATAAACTTAGGAATTTATACTACTTCATCTCAACCACCAAGATCACATTCAGTTCTTAATCCAACCAAATCAAATTTCACTATTTTGTCAAGGATACAAGTATTCTTTATCAAGTCATTTCTAGCTCAACCTTAAGTATTATTTAAATTGTCTCTTCAAGTAATCTACCCAAATATTCTTTTCACACAAAGCCTCTCTAGGTTTCAACAGCAAGTATTTTTTTACGATTAAGTCTCTCTAGGCTCAAACAACAAGTATTTTATTTTACAGTTAAACATCTTTAGGCTCTAACCTAATAACTTAGAGTTACTAAAGTTTACAATGTTTTTTTGTCTTTCTATCAAGACATGATACAACAAATTAAGTACAAAGACTTTTTATAGAAAGAAAGAATGTAGTTTTCACAATTGTTAATCTTTTCTTTATGAGCTTTAAACTTCCTTTTATATGGCTTTAGTGAAGATAACCATTGCAAGTTTTTGAGCTTCTCTCTCATGGCTTGCTTTGTCTATTTTCATGATATGCTTCTTGACGAGAGAAGTGTTTATTGGTGTATTAAATGCTTGCATTAAATACTTTCACCAAATTGTCACTTCTTATTTGATCAAAAAAGCTACTTATTGTTGAGATGATGGAGATTGTTAGAGATTATTGAGATGACGAAGATGATCGAACATCTTGAAGACTTCTCAAGATAGTTTTAGTTTTGATGATGCATTATATAGATGTTTCTTAAAGCTATACAAAAGGATATTGTATTGATTGTAATAAATATAAGCTTATGTGTGTGTTTGTTTATGATTGATGATGATGATGAATGCTTAATTCAAGAACTAATCAAGTTTTTTAAGAAACCAAGAATTTGATTTTTTAGTATTTCCATGTGTAAACATAAAGTAATAGATTATATTGAAAATGGTAATTTACTACTAAGTGTTTAAACATAGAAATCTGACTTGATTCAAACAAGAGTTTTCAAGGTAACCTTGTTAATCAATTACCATTCAGGGTAATAGATTACCAAGTCTATTACTAGAAAATGATATTCAAATGTCCTTTGAGTTAATAGATTACCACATCTGTTACTGATAAAGAATTTCTTGAGGTAACAGATTAATAAAGTTGGTAATAGATTAAAATAGAGTCTCTTGCTTGAAACAAGACTAAAGAATCAAAGTTTCCAGTAAAACTAGTCAAGGTTGTGATTCCCGTGATTCTTGCGAAAGTGATTACAATTATAAATACAATTCATAAGCTCATTACGGGGAGAGATCCATGCATATTTTAGGGGATTAGGATCAAAGATTTGTATCATGGATATGAGATCCATATAAATAAGAAGGAAAAGGACTGATGAAAAGACAAGATTTTCTCACTCTTGAATATTCTAAGTTAGAATTCACTTCACTAAAGATTCTCTGGTTGTTATCCCCTTACTAAAATAAAAACTAAACACATTATTAAGTTTATTTTCACTTTTCTTTGAAATAGAAAATAAAAAATGGTGGAACCAAATAGCCCCTATAAAAATAACACATAAAAATTATGTTATAAAGTCTAAAAACCTTAAATATATATGAAAATATCATATTAACAAGTTAGACAGTATTTAAATTTTTAGTTTGTAAAAAACAAGTTAGATATTTATGATATTTATTATATATAATATATAATTTGATAATACATTATCATGTAAAATAATATTATATTATTATTCAATCACAATTCATATAAATAATAAATTTATTGACTTTTATAACATTTATCTTAAAAGTCATACAAATAATAATTTATAATTAAATGAATATATGAACATTAAATCTTATAATAACAAAAATTTATAAAAAATACTATATTTAAATATATAAATAAGTATTTTTTAAATAAATAAATAAATAAATATATATATAAATTAATATCCTAATAATACAAAAATACAACAAATATATATATACAACAAAGTGTAATAGTTATTTACTATTTATTTATATAATAATATAATATATTATATTTTCTAATAATTTTAATATTGATAATAAAAGTAAGATTTTACTTGACAAATATGACAATTTATTATTATTTATCAATATCAACATTATTAAAAAATAAAATATAATATCTTTTAGTATTATGCAAATAATCAATAAATAATAATTAAATTGTACATAAAAAAGGAGAATATTCATGAACAATTAGGATGTGAATATATATATATATA